AGAAGAGACAGGGTTTCACCATGTTGGCCATGCTGGTCTCGAACTCCTGACCTCAGGTGATTCACCCCCTTGGCCTCTCAAAGTGCTGGGATTACAGGCACATGCTGCCTGCCTGTCACCCAGCTGTGAAGGAGATTTTGCAGATGTGGTTAAGGATCTTGAGATGGGAAGATTGTCCTGGACTGTCTGTGGGGAGCGGCAGTATCATTACAAGGGTCCTTATAAGGGGGAAGGCCAGAGAGTCAGAGTGAGAGAGCTGAAGACACTGCGAGGCTGCCTCTGAAGTTGGAGGAAGGTCCGTAAGCCAAGACATCCCGGCAGCAGCCTAAAGGAGCTGGAAAAGGGAAGGGAAGGACTTCTCCCCTAGAACCTCCAGAGAACATTAGTTCTGTTCACAACTTGATTTCAGCCGAGTGGGACCAATTTCGGACTTCTGATCTGCAGGACTGTAAGATAACAAACTTGCATTATTTGATGCCACTAAGTTTGCAAATTATAACAGTGATAGGAAACTTACGTTGGGCGAAGTGGCTCATGCCTGCTGCACTGCAGCCTGAGCGATGGGGAGACTCTATGTCAAAAAAAAAAAAAAGAGAAAAGGAATTCAGGTATGGAGTGCTGGGTGTGCAAAAAGCCATCATGTTGGCCAGGCGTGGTGGCTCACGCCTGTAATCCCAGCACTTTGGGAGGCTGAGGCAGATGGATCACACGAGGTCAGGAGTTCGAGACCAGCCTGGCCGACATGGTGAAACCCCGTCTCTACTAAAAACACACAAAATTAGCCAAGCATGGTGATGCATACCTGTATCCAGCTACTTGGGAGGCTGAGGTAGGAGAATTGCTTGAATCCTGGAGGTGGAGGTTGCAGTGAACTGAGATAGTGCCATTGTACTCCAGGCTGGGCAACAGAGCAAGACTCCTTCTCAAAGGAAAAAAAAATACAAAATTAGCTGAGCATGGTGGCACATGCCTATAATCCCAGCTACTCAGGTGGCAGAGGCAGGAGAATTGCTTGATCCTGGAGGTGGAGGTTGCAGTGAGCTGAGATCATACCATTGCACTTCACCTGGGCAACAAGAGTGAAATTCTTTTTTTTTTTTTTTGAGACGGAGTTTCTCTCTTGTTACCCAGGCTGGAGTGCAATGGCGCGATCTCGGCTCACCGCAACCTCCGCCTCCCGGGTTCAGGCAATTCTCCTGCCCCAGCCTCCTGAGTCGCTGGGATTACAGGCACGTGCCACCATGCCCAGCTAATTTTATGTATTTTTAGTAGAGACGGGGTTTCACCATATTGACCAGGATGGTCTCGATCTCTTGACCTCGTGATCCACCCGCCTCGGCCTCCCACAGTGCTGGGATTACAGGCTTGAGCCACCGCGTCCGGCCTAGGAGTGAAATTCTTTAGGGTCCAGCCCTGTAGGGTTCTGTGAGCACCTCCCTGCTGGTGCGGAGATGAGAAACTGTAGAAATAAAAGACACAGACACAGAGATAAAGAGTTTGGGCTCGGGGGTCCACTGCCAACCAAAGCACAGAGACCTGCAGTGGCACTGAGTACCTGGACACTCTGACTTTTATTGAGTACAAAGCAGGGGCAAGGAAGGTCGGGTGAGGTAATGGTGGTCGGTGATAGGGTCAGGTAAATTACATGTCCTGAAGACGGGGGCCCAGGACTTTCAAGTAGCCGAAGGGAGTAGAAAACCTAATGTGTCAGCGCTCTTCACATATTTGTCGGAAATATCGAGGACACTAAGATTATGTTACTATTATTCTTATCTTCTGAGAAAAAGGAAACCAGGTGCAGAAGTGTAGCATGAGAGTGGACATGGAAGATGACCACTGAAGCACAGCATCACATAGAGACAGTTAAGCCCCCAGATGTCTGCGGGTGTCCCTGACAGCCATCAGGCCTTGCCGTAAGAGCCTGGAGAAGTGGAGTTTTCTCCTGACTTCCCCAGGAAGGAGAGGTCTCGGTCATTTTGGACATCTCCTTCCCTCGCTGGCTGAACAGTGGGGCTTTCCCAGTGCTGGGGCTGCCACACAGCCAAGGCGCCCTCCAGCAGCCCTTATGCGGATGTGACAGAGGGCTTAGAGCATCTTGCCTTAGGGTCACTTTGTTCACGATGTCACCTCAGTTCCATGCTTCATAACCTGATAGTCATTAGTAAAATTAAAGATTATGTTTAGTATAATATCTTTGTGATTATAAGCAACTATAAGATTATATATGATTACATAAAGAAATAACTATGTGCCTACATTTCTAATTCTTTATCAATATTTATATGAGAACAGGCTGAGGCTTCAGACCCTTGCCATGGCACTTGTGGGGTTTCCCCCTATAAAACTCCATCTCAAAAAAAGAAAGAAAAAAAGCCATCATGTCCACCTTGCCGTAAGGAGAGGGGGGTCAGCCTGGACAAGGCACTATTTCTGGAGAATGCAAATGAAGAATTTCTTGAATGTTGTAATGCCATGGCTACATATTCTAGAACCCCTTCCTCAGGCTCAAGGCCTGCAGCCTCTTTAATCTCCCCAGTCCCTGGCCTCATCACCAGTTACCTTCCTGGACCCTCTTAAAACAGACATTCTCATCTCCTGAGACTAAGGGGGACTGCAGCCCAGACAAGTTGAGCATCTGGACTGAGGTCACACAGCAGAGTTCACTACTGGTTATTTCAGGTTGGAGGCATGGGGAAAAAGCAGGCATTTCTCCTTCTCCTTCATTTAAATTTTTTCTGGGAGTGTTTTAACACCCAGAGAGGGGGCCAGGCGCAGTGGCTCACACCTGCAATCCCAGCACTTTGGGAGGCTGAGGCGGGCAGATCACTTGAGGTCAGGAGTTCGAGACCGGCCT